GTTGCCTCCTGTGATTTGATGTCAAGTGTTCGGGACACAAAACTGACACTCAATTCCATTTAGTCTCCTGCAGGCATCTGGTTCTTGCAGTTCAGAGATCTGTTTTGTAGATGTACATTGTGGAAGACTTTGTCAACAGGAGAAAAACAGATATTTGTCATTTCCTTCAGAAAATGGGGAAGTAAAGTTACTTTGGGAGTGAAGATTAATCCACAGGACAGATTTCAGACCGATGTCATGCTCATGCAAAGATGCTCACACAAATGCCAGTATTTCAACCCTTATCATTACCCTTCCCACCCCATCAGAGTCTCCCACAGTTGCTAACTGGTGATCATTCACTTCACTTTCACATCAACACTGAGGGCCAGCTAGTCCTGGCTTACTTGTTTGGCTGCATCATCATCATGATTGGGAAATCTCTGGTTGCCCATTTAGCTCTTTGTGGGTTTTTCAATTTGCTCAATGATAGATAGAGATGCAGCACATGTTCAAATGTTGCTTTCCTGCCAAAGCTGCTTTATGTTATGAAGGCTAGGAACAGACCTTTATCAGGTCTGCCTTTACCAGGCAGAGTAATCCGAAGGCACTGTACTTCATGCTAGCCTGCAATCTCAGCCAGAAACTGAGATGAACAGTATAAATAAGTGTTTTGCCAGCTGTTCTGCAGGTGTAAGACATACTCATGCAACAGAGATCCCTTTTACAGTCCTTTTAAGTTATCAGAGCAGTGCTAGCTGGCTATAGCCTGAGGAAGAAATTACATATTTTTTGTTGTTTTCTTATCAAAGGAGAGTTAATACTGCTTTTCAGATCAAATAATGGTGAAGAGAGGCTTTTAGAAACTATCATACTTGTAATTTCTTGGAAATGCTGCAGTTTGCTTAAAAAATATATAGCTATGTGTTTATAACCATTCATTTATGAGAAAACTTCTGGGAGCATTACACATGTTGTGACACCACCACTAATGACAAGTCTTTTCTAAAGGACTCTGCAATATTTGTGTAGATATTTGCTTGGGCTCTTTTCTCATCAATCCTTACGCAAAATTCTATGCTAGTGCCTCCAAAGCACATAGGAAATTACAAAGTGCAGAGAGCTTTTGCATTTTGTATGCCTCAAATCACAAATATGTAAACAGCAACTGATAATTCTGTCCGTCATCTAATCAGTATTAATCCTACTTACAACTGCACTGCCTAGAAACAGAGGGATCTCTGCGGAGAGGGAGTTGTGGCAACACAGAACAATAAATAGCCCTTCCCTGAACCTGTTCCAGTTTGCGTGAAGGTTGGCTGCATGAAGCTAGGGCTGGAGTTACATCGGATAAAAGTAATGCACAGTGATACCTGTGAGCAGCATTCCTTTTTGCTGTTAAAGAGGGGCAAAGGACTGGTGAGATGCTGATGTGCAAATAAGGCTTGAGGCTGAGGTCAGGAGGCTGCAGGAGGTAGGGTTGCAGTGAGTAGCCTGTCATCACAAAGAACATGAGTCTTGTGGAAAACAGGGTGTCTCCAACGTTTCTATTTAAGCTGCTTTCACAGCTTCTGTGTTGTCTGTCTTGTTGGACTGCTTCTTGCAGCACAACCTTATCAGCCAGCAACAGGGAAAGCAGATGCCACAGGGGTGTTAAATCCTCTCTAGAACACCTTCCACATGGGTCTGATTTTAAGAACAAGTGTGACCCCATGATATAGCTAGAATGAATTTCTTATTGAAAACAATTAATTTCAATGGAGACCAACCAGTAGAAAAGCCATTAGCTGTAGCACTGATGATTTTGCTCACTGGTGGTATAACATACCTAGTGCTCCTGGAAGCAATGTTCCCAATTTGGTCCCAACAAGGCTTAAGCATGAAAAGACAAGAAACCAGACTGAGGTTATTTTAGTAGTATATTTAAAAATTCCCTAATTTAAGCTTTTAGTAAAACCTCTCAGCACAGCAATTAATTTGGTAAATTTGGAGGGAGCTGAGATACAATAGGGTATTATCACTGATGATTAAAGTACATTATGTTTCACTTCATTATGGTTTATCTATGAAGGAAAGAGTTGAAATCTTATGAAAACACAAGAAAAAAGAAGAATGTCTTGCCAGGTGGGAATGTTTTTAAACTTTTGGGATCAGGATAATAAGGTTTTAGAAGGGAATTTTCAATGGCCCTTGCTACAAATAAATCAATGTGCTTATTCTCCTCCCCTTCTGTGATTTAAGAAATCAGCATATATTGAAGATGCTGAAACTGACCATTTCTCATGCAAATCTCTTGTAGCTGAAGACAGACTCAGAGAAGCGCTCAGTTACAGACTGCGAAACTTGGGGCAGCACTGAAGAGCTGAAGAAACCAGATGAAGACTTTGACAGCAGCGTAGACAGCAGTGGCAAGTGGAAAGGCCTTCCCTCAGGGCTGTCTGAAGAGTCAGAGAAGGGAGGACAGAAAGCATCACTCTCTGTTTCACAGACCGGATCCTGGAGGAGAGGCATGACTGCACAAGTAGGAACAACTCAGTCCAGGCACAAAGCAGGAACAAGTGCACTCAAGACCCCGGGTAGGAAACTTCCGTAGTTCAGATTACAGCTTTAAAAATTTAGACTTTATACTTAGAATTAAGCAGTAAGAATCTTTAGCAGGCTAAAAATAAATATTATAAATGTGAGACAGATGAGGAAATGGAAGCATATTGGTAGTTCTTCTCAGAAATGACTGCAAGCCAAGATTATAATAATGTACTAACTTGTTCATCTGTATAACTGTTCATTTGCTACACTGCATGCCAACAATTTATTAATTGCACATGAACGTATCCATACCAAAAACTGTGATTGCAATTTGGTTTACTATCATTTGAGTATGTCAGCATCCCTTCTGGAATTCTTAAAAGTATTTTTTGGAGTCATCTACGCTTTATCTTTGTTCTCCAGAAAGCCTGTACCTTTGATAATTGAACATGTGCATAGAAATGGCCAAAGATTAGAAACTGAGATTAAAAGATTTAACATTCAAAAGAGAAGACTAAAAATCAGTGTTTATGAACTAAAGCTGAACATTCCAGATACTGTGGGTGTTCTATAGACCACTGTTAAGAGATAAAAAATTGTGAAAAAACATTTTTTACACACTTTCTTCAGTGCTAGATGACTTCTTACCCAATATTGAAAGGCCTCTAAGAAGTAATAACCACTTACACAATCTAGTTTTGAAGTAAAAAAAACCAAACAACAAAACTGGGGGAAGGCATCTTTGTTAAGAACATCTAATCCGTCATTTTACTAGAGAAATGTCAATTCTTGGTGGACATTTTCTAGACCTTTGGTATATCCTGAGAAAATACTGCACGAGTATGCTTTAACCTTCAGTTGCAAAGGTAACAAATTAAGATCTCCTTTCTTTGTGAGCCTCTTTTGTTCCATTGCAATTTGGTACTGCTAAATATTGGTCAGCTTCTGGTCTATCAGAACTCTGAGGAGCAATTCCATGGTCAGTGGTCACATGGATGCAGAAATGACACTCCTGTAGTGGCAATTTAAAAGGGAGATACTAGAAGGTTTACCACATGCCAAGCTAAGTATCCCAAATCTGCTTTGCTAAACATGAGTAGGCAACCACTGTGCAACAAACAACTGAGACCTTACTCTAATTTAATCTAATACTAATAGCCTTTGTGTTCTCCGTGTGGGAGTCAGATTCATATCTTGGCATGTGCATGTGCTTGTGAAGCATAAAATGTGCACTAGATAAAAAATGACTTGTAGGTGTTGCTCTTTATTACAATTTAATTTCTTAAGATAAATTAGGCTGCCCACCTCCAAAACTTCCATAATCACTTGAAAAGTGAATTAAATACTTTGTTAAGCTGAATATTTATTCCTTGTTAGGAACATACAATAGATGCTAAAGAGAAACTAGAAAAGAAATGGCATTTTTTTTGCTGTTCGTAATATAGAAAGAGGGTATTTTCTTTGAAGACAAAAGAAATTATCTTATTTAAAGTTTTCTGAATGTCACAATAACATTACATGGAAATATATAATAAATAGGTACATAATTGTGCAGTACTGAAGGCAGCCTCTCAGAAAATCTAAAATCTTGAAAAGCTATCAAGGATATGACAAAGATTGTTAACTTATGTAATTGATACCTATTCATACCACGATAACATTATCTCTCTGATAATTTTGTGTAACTAAAATCAGATCAAACTTTGTTATATATTAAAAGTATGTATTCTGTGAAAAACAAAGAACTCAATAAATCCCATTAATTTCTACATGCATAATTAAGGTAATACTTCTGGAAATGTTAATTGCTCATCATCCTTTATTTTAAAATATTATTTCTACATATAGAAATACCATTAACAGAAAAAAAGAAAAGCCAAATATTTCAATCAGGATAATTTTCTATGTCTGTGCACTCCAGCTATATATGAAACTGGAAGTTCTCATGAGATTTTAGGGCTTTTAATACTTAATGCTTCACTGTAATGTATCATACCTGCTATTGACTGCTGATGGTGGACTAAAGACAAAACGGTCTCCTTTCTTAGTGTAATTTTTCTGTTTGTGTATTTTTTCATTTTGAAGTTGTAACCATATAACTTTGAAGTTAGATATTGGGACATTACAACTTAAACACAAGTGACCTTTCAAATGTACTTTTATTTAGGAAAAACAGATGATGCAAAAGCCTCAGAAAAAGTGAAAACTCCCTTGAAAGGAGCCTCTATTCAGCGCTCTCCATCAGATGCAGGAAAAAGCAGTGGTGATGAAGGAAAAAAGCCTCCTTCTGGCATTGGTAGATCAACAGCTACAGGGTCTTTCGGATTCAAGAAGTCCGGGATGGGATCTTCTACCATAATCACCTCAAGTGGAGCGACTATCACAAGTGGGTCAGCAACTCTAGGGAAAATGCCAAAATCTTCAGCCATCGGCGGCAAGTCCAACGCAGGGCGGAAAACAAGCTTAGATGGTTCCCAGAACCAGGATGATGGTGTCCTGCACGTGAGCTCAAAGACAACTCTGCAGTACCGAAGCTTGCCTCGCCCATCAAAATCCAGCGGCAGCGGGATCCCAGGCAGGGGTGGCCACCGCTCCAGCACCAGCAGCATTGACTCCAATGTCAGCAGCAAGTCTGCGGGTGCTGCTGCCACCAAACTGCGAGAGCCGAGCAAGATCGGCTCTGGGAGGTCCAGCCCTGTCACCATCAACCAGACTGACAAGGAGAAAGTGGCTGTGTCTGATTCTGAGAGTGTCTCACTATCCAGTTCCCCCAAATCCAGCCCAACATCAGCCAGTGCCTCTGGCACAGTGGGGCTTAGGCAGCCAGGATCCAAATACCCAGATATCGCGTCACCCACCTTTCGAAGGTTAGTGCTTTTCTATGAATTCCTGAAGTTACAGTGTATAAGCCAGGGGTTTTCAATGCACTGGACAAAAAGCCTTTTCAGGACATATTTTGCCATGAACAGAAAAGCAAGTTAAAAAACAAATCAAAGGGTAATACTTTTTCACACCACACAATTATTTCTCTAAGGCCTAAAGACCTCCCCAGACTTGAAATGACTGTTTCTTGGGCTTTGAGCATTGTTAGGTACATTCCTATAACAACAGTTAGAAGGATAGAGTAAGTTGTAGTCAGTGATCCATATGGGTCAATTCCAACTCAAGATAATGTTCAGGCACACAAGGCATTCCCTCTCAATACTCTGATAAATCCCCCAAAGGGAAGAAGGTCACCACGTTTGGACACATTCTCTTACTGGAACAGATGATGCCATATCCCAGTCAGAGAACTGAAGAGCTCTAATATATAAATAAAGCATTTGCTTTCACATTGTTGGCAGCTCCAGCTATAAACTTTTCATTATCTTAGCAGCTTTTCTACATCTTTCATCACAAACAAAGCTAAATTTCAATTGGTAATGCGCTATTGTAATGTTTCTGGAAATATAAATCCGAATGAAGTATAAATTGGGATGTAACATTTGCACTGTTCAAGAAAAAAACAATAGTGCCCTCTCGTGCCTTGGTACTAAAACAGCATCTCCAGGCTGCTGGGGAGCTGCAGACTATTTTTGTGGACTTGATAAAATGGATTCTTTCATAAGCCTTGCTTACTTTATATCGCAGTAAGTTTTTGCATTTATTTCTTATTAATTTATTAGCTGCACCTTAACTGCAGCTTAAAATATCTTCAGTAAGACATTAAGTCATCACATGAACTTTTATTTCAACAGTTGTAGAGGATTTTGATGGGGTTTTTTATCATCACCACTGTAGAATTCTTCTGTAGAATTGCTGAAAGCAATTTTGTGAAACACATCTCAATCCTGACTGTACTTGGAGACAAACCGAGCCCCTTTAGCTCCAGTGTAGTTTATTGTGTCTGAATGGGTACTACATGACCAATGACTGCATGAGCATCTGTGCAAAAGAACAAGAGGGAAATTTTATAGAAATACTTAGCTGTTTATTAAACTGTGAAGGATTTTGCAAGTGTTTATTACAATCATTTTAGCTGATATGAAAGTGAGGTGTTTAAAAGCAAATTACTTAGCTGTGGGAATGCTTCATTACTGCATTTGAGTGAAAGTGTAATCTGTTTATGCACTAGTAAGACAAAAACATGATTATCTTACCTCTCTCTGGGAGGATCTGTATGTGCAAAGAACACATCTGAACAGGAGTGAATGAAATCTGTTGCTAATGAAACTAACCCTCATTGTTGTGCTATGGTTAAGAGAATTTAATTTTGGCATGTGATTGATCATCTAGGTAGGCATGATTTTAGTAGAGGTAATTAAAAATGTGTAGTTTGGCTCTTAGGATGTTACGCCATGAATGTTTAATGTGGCTATCAGTTTCTCTAAAGCTATTTGTTTTACATTTAGGTTGTTTGGTGCCAAGGCAAGTGGTAAAGCTGCCTCTGCACCCAGTACTGAAGGTGTGAAACCCACATCGGCAATGCCCAGCCCTAGTACCACATTGGCACGGCAAGGCAGCCTGGATTCGCCATCCTCGGGCACAGGCAGCATGGGCAGTGCAGGTGGGCAAAGTGGTAGCAGCAGCCCCCTCTTCAGTAAACCTTCGGACTTAAATGCAGATGTTGTAAGCTTAAGTCACTCCTTGGCTTCCAGTCCTGCCTCAGTGCACTCTTTCACATCAGGTGGTCTTGTCTGGGCTGCAAACCTGAGCAGCTCTTCAGCGGGCAGTAAGGACACACCAAGTTACCAGTCCATGACTAGCCTTCACACCAGTTCCGAGTCTATTGACCTTCCTCTTAGCCATCATGGCTCTCTCTCTGGACTGACAACAAGCACTCAGGAGGTTCAGAGCCTGCTCATGAGGACTGGAAGCGTCAGATCTACTCTTTCGGAAAGGTGAGCTTGCCTATAGATACAGTGACCACAAAACAAGTGAGAGGCAAAAGGACAGGAGCAAAAAAACCCCAACAAAACCAGCATCCCTCCACCTGTTTTCCTAAAAGGACACTGTTTAATTAGTGGTGTAGTCCTTTATGTTAAAAAGGAAGGAAGAAATGAAAGCTGACAGGCATTGGAATCAACTGTCTTTTAAGGTTTTACAAGTACTTTTTCTATCTTTAGAATTTTTTTTGTTCCCCTTTTTCTGGAGAGCAATGACAGAAAAGAGAAAAAATGTCTCATTAAAGGCACATAATGATCCCTGCTTGCTGGATCTGCCTGCTGTCCCAGCAACTGGCAGCTTCAAAGATGTCTTACCGCCCTCTTGCTAGCAGGCCTCCTCCAGCAGTGGGACCCCACCAGTTTTCTTCCCATTAGCTCAAAGTACAAGCAGAGCTCGTGGGCCCGTGCCTTCAGGTGACCAGTATTACCTGAAAATGCCCAGTCCTGACAAGTTGTTTCTTCCATGGTAATCATTATACAGCTCCTTACTGAAATGCAATTTCATTGGCAGGGAGAAAGTTTACAGGTTGAGACCCTCACTACATGCATAGTCTTGCTGGGTGTCTGGAACAGACAAACAAGAGAAAGAAAGGCTTTCCTCTGCTTTCTCTTTTTTATATGCAGATATTTTACCATTTATTTTATATTATAAAGTGGTGCTTCCACCCTGTCACATTGTATCATGATTTATTTATTCATTTATTTTTGTGTGTGTATGTGTGATATATTTATTTGACTTTTGCAAAGGAGAAAAAAGAAAGAAGCAGTAAATAATTTTCACTTTCTGTGAAAATTTTCAAGATTTGACAACAGAAACTCTTCTCTTACGTAGAGACTGACAAATCAATAATAAATATTTCATTAGCCTTTGATCCAAGAAACAAATTATGCTGAGTCAGTCAGAAATATTTTAAACATTTTAAGGTTAAACTTAGTTGTTTAACAACATAATTGTTTTAAGGAATCAAAGATCTTTTATATAAAATGTTAAGATTTTTTCCCTTTATATGAACCCAGAGATTTTTCAATGCCAATCCTTTCCTTGGAAAGATTTCACTTTCAATGAATCAGCATTAAAAAACTTAAAAAACAACCTCCCAAAAAATACAAAACAACCAAAACCTAAACAGTGTTTTGCCAAATCTAGATGGAAACTCCACACATTTCATTCTTTTATGTTGCATTCATAAGTATTACTACATCAGCTAAAATCACATCTCTTAATAATATAATTACAACAGCATAAAACATATGTGTGTACCAGTATAATGTATGCTAACAACAGTAGCTAAAATTATGTTGATACATGAATACTTTATAATTTGCATGGTGCCTTTGTTTTTTAAGTACTAATTTACACTTTGTGCCATGAACTGGCTGTGACATTTCTTATAAAGCTAATTATTAATATTTAGCTTATAAAAGCCTTCATTAATTTTTAGTGCTACATATATGAATGGTGAGGTCAATAGAATGATATGAAAGAGTATGAATTTATGCCAAAGATCATATTTATACAGAGGATGTTAAACATCACATTTAAAATGTTAATGGTTTGGCATAAGCTCCTGAGCAGCCCCCACTACTAATACTTTATGTATTTGTTCAGTGACTTAATTTCAGTGGTTCCAAATACTTTGCCCTTGGCAATATTTTTAAGTTTCAGATTTGTCCATATGGGGATATTATGATTGAGTCCAGAGAGAGCCATTTATCATGTTGATCTGGCCTCAAAACAAATATATGTACCTAGACAAAATGGTAAATCATTTCTTGAATTATACCCCCAATAGGCTTTTTGCAGTTTGATTTTTCTGAAAGGTCTGTTATAAGTGCTGTGTTGTTTCTAAACTGTTTTATAAAGTAAAACTTACATGTAGCAAAGCATTTTTTTACAACAAAAGCATTGGTTTGCAATGTTGGAGACAGAGATGTTTGGCAGCAGTTTATGTACTTTTTCCTGTAAACTCAGACTATATTTGAGATGCCTCTGGCAATACTAGTTGCAGCTTGGCATGACATAAGAAATTATCTGCAAAGAGGCCTATTCTTTTTCTTCAGTAACTGTTGAGCTTTCAAAAGACTGAGTGAGCAGTTTGTATAGTGACATTTACTAATATAATGTTAAGACAAAGTCTGAAAGACCGAAGCACAAAATGCGATTCAACTAGTAAGTGACAAAGTTTATGCAGAGAAAGCCTAGAGAAAAATAAAGAGAAGAGAGAGCTAACAATAGATTATACAAAGGTTTTTCTTCATTGAAGCATTACCTGCAATTTGATAGCTAAGTATCACTAATGACAAAAATGCTAAGAGGCAATAAAAAGTTTAAAGATTACTCTGATTTGTTGGTCCTGATGAACTTTCTACTTCCCCGCTTAAGACACAGTATGAAATAGCCCTGAAATCATTGGGAGTGAAAAGGTTTCAAAGAACGAAAGGAGGAGGAGGGTTGGGGTGGAGGACAAGAGGCTTATGGGTGAGGCCTGTTTGCCTCTGTTCCTGGAACATATTAAACAAAAGGGGTTAAGTAACAGATAACATAGGATTTATCATTAATAGCCTTTTAACAGCCATAAGTTTAATAGCCATTAACAGCCATCCAGAGGGACCTTGACAGGCTGGAGAGGTGGGCCAATGCCAACTTTGAACTTCAGCAAGGCCAAGTGCAAGGTCCTGTGCCTGGGTGGGCACAACCTCAGACACAAAGGCAGGCTAGGGAGAGAACAGCTGGAGAGCAGTCCTGAGGAGAAGCACTTGTGGGTAGTAGTAGATGAGAAGCTCGACATGAGCTGCCAGCGTGCACTCACAGCCCAGAGAGCAACTGCATCCTGGGCTGCATCAAAAGAAATGTGGCCAGCAGGGCCAGGGAGGGGATTCTGCCCCTCTACTCTACTCCTGTGAGAACCCACCTAGAACACTGTGTACAGCTCTCAATCCCTCAGCATGGAAAGACATGGAACTGCTGGAGAGGGTCCAGAGAAGACAAGTGATCAGTGGTTTACTAGCCTGAATGGTTATAACAGGTCAGGATGTATTTTCACAAATACAAAATGGATAGTTTCCAAAATGTAGGCAGTGTCTAAGGGGTTGTAATGCCATTGTTGGGGCAAAACATTTTCCCAGTTATTTTGAAAATGAAAACATCATGTATAAATCTTAGCAAGTAGTTATCCCATTCTACTTTTTCATATTAAGGCTTTAAATTGAAGATTTGGGGACATCAAGTTTTAAGAAGGATTTCTTCCAACTTGGAAAGAACCCAGAAAATGGGACCAAAATATCAGGGTACATCTATGTTTCCTACTAAGGAGGGGAGGCCATGACTGCCTCTGAAAAAGCAGTCACGTGTCCTCGAGACAGAAAGTCTGCAAGGTTTCTGCCACATGTGCCCACTCATACCTCGCACGGCTCAGTCCCTACAGGGATGATCAAATATTGCCCACATCCATTTTTTAAGCCATCAGATCCTACCAGATTCTTTTACATTGTAATAACCAGAAAATATGTTAAGTAAATACTAGCAAAATACTGCTTTTTCAGCAAAATTTGCATCTCCTTCAGAACTTTGTCTGGTTTTGCACTAGCAGTATTTATGTACACAAGTCTACTTCTGTTGTTATAGCAGTGTATCCACCTCTTTGGGTGGACACTTGTATTTTAGTTCACAACAATTTAGAAGGATTAAAATAAATCATACAGGTACTTATACTCTAAAAGAAAACTGTATGCTAGGGTTAATTGGTGAAATATCACTGGTTTACTTGATAACGTTTTCCAGGTGGACACATCACCAATAGTTCTTTTGAATCCTTAATTGCTGTTGGGCATTGCAGATTTGTATCTGTCTTCTGCTTTATCTGAGCGGAATGCAGAAATGCAGAAATTAACAGTGGTTTCATCAGCAATAATGGCTGCATTTTAAGATTAACAAGGTGGAAGTAGTTTCTAATTACATGGCTGGTTTGCTGTGGTTTACTTTAAAAGGGTGTTTAGTTTTGAGGGCCATGAAAGTGCTTTGAAATCCACCTAAGCTCTTTGAGACTTTTCCATTGGTTTAGATTATCACCATAGTTGATGATTGTTGCTTTAAGGTATGAGAGTGCATCTTGCATCAGATTTTCTTGTGTGCTCAGCCACTTGTGAGAAGTCAGTTTGAAGTCTCAAATCAGCTCAGCCCAGCCTTCCCTAGACCTCCACAGGAGTTTTTTTAGCTTGCAATTATTTGTTTTATTCCCTAACAGCTCTGAAATAGTTAGATGTAGCAGGTAGGAAACTGAGAACTGTAAAACTTCCTGTGGTTTACCCCAGAGAACTTGCAGACTGTTACAGCAGTGCAAAATAAACAAAAGGGAATGGACATACTTCAGCCTACATCTGTATGCATCTTCCTGCAAGACTGCTTTTGGCTATTGATGTAGCAAAGGAAAATGTCAGGAATATTACAGTATTTTCAGCATCACACTATATTGGTATTTGTTTTGAGCCAAAGAGACAGATTTCCATTAATTCATTGCTTATTTCAGGAAAGGGCTGGCTTTTTTTCATATCGTTAGAGAAGAATAGAGGCTGATAGTGTCCTAATGGGATCATAGCATGTAAAAGTTCAGTTCTATTTACTAGAAGTCCAGTTTCTGTAGAAGTTAAATACTTCTTGGTGGAAGAATGCGTTCAGATATTAAAAAGATATGGGCTTTTATGGATCTGAACATTACACAGAGCTATCATTAATAGTTTCATACAATTATCTGAAATACAAGAGCATCTTTACATTATTTTAAATTTCAAACAGCAGAATAGGTGTTTGCTACATTCACTTTTATGCAAGTGTAATAAATCCACACTTATATTGAGAAGTAAACACATCTATTTCAATTGAATACTTGAATTCAAAAGGTTTTTTAGCAAAATCCTATGGTCACTCCTAGCCTATTTGTCTGATTAACATATAGCTGTTGACTTGTGGATGACTTGAAAGCAGCACTGATTGGCTCTTTTATTCTTATATAATGTGCTATAAAGTACTTTGAAATACATTAAACTTCAAGTTAAAGAAATATTAGAAAATGTTGTTCAGTAGGATGTTTGAAGTATATGCACAAGAAACTTTGTTATTATGATCATATTTATTTGCATTGAAATTTAGAGGTTCATAAAGGGTCATCAAGGCACCATTCTTCTCTGAAAGGAACTAAATGAACCATGTATTCAAATGTTCTCTTTTCATCAACCATTCCTGGTCTTGTTAGCTATGTTGAGAGCAAAATACTGCAGATTTAGTCCTCTGTTTGATAGAGGACTGACTACTCTGACATGGACCATGATAGCTCAGCCTGTGTTGAAATCAAGCTTAGTTTCTCCTTCTGTTTGCTTTTTCCCTGTGCAGAACAAGGGGCTCATTAAACCAGTAAAATTGCCTATAAAACTTCTTGATAGTAAGAGTTTAATTCCATTAAACTGAGCCCTAGTGGTAACAGATTGTTAACACCAACAGTATTTTCACTGCCTTCACCTACTTGGATCAAGGTCACATGGCAGTGGGGTGCCCAGCACACTAGAAAACAACCTTTAATAGTGGCATGATAGTTTTCCTGGGTAAGAAGAATCCTAAGTTAGTGTTGTTCTCAGAGGTGTGATTATGATATGTAATACAAAAACTTCCTAAAGCCATTTTGCAATTTAATCCATATGGAAACACTAAATTATGTTATTAAGGGAAGAAGATTGCAACACTTACTCCGTGATAACTAGTTCAAATTCAACCCACACTAGTTGGGGACTGATCTACCAAGTCTTTATGAGGAAATCCGCGAATGACACTTACTTTGAAGGAGGGCTAGTGGGTGCCCTTCTAGTGATGATAGTTGAATTAGGAGATTTCCAGCCATAGATGGAATGCCAGTGATCAGCCACTCTGCCACTTTGTGTGTGTAAATACGGAGCAGTGTTGCTGTGGTGCCACTTTACATTTTTCCCACCATCACCCTACTATGTGAGCTCCACAGCAACAGAATGCCCAGGGTCTGTATATTTAGCTCTGACTTCTACAAGCAGAGCTATCTTTTGGCTTCTGGCAAGGCCATGCTGTCTCCTAGCAGGTGCCACAACCTTCCTTTCTTTTGGAAATCTATTGGTATATCATAGGCAACTGTGAAAAATAAAGATTCATGCTGTGACCATATGATTCTCATACAGATTACAGGGTAAAGCTGTAGGAAGGTTAGAAATTTCAAGGAAGGACTTCTTTTTTACTTGGGCAGTCTCCAAATTACTATTGACCCAGCCCAGAGCATGTCTAGATGAAAAACGAATGTGCAGCAGTCCATGTCCTACTGTCCACTCAAATGAGTCAGGGATTTATCATGAAAGATAAATTAAAAAGCACTAAATTACCTTCTGTTATGCACACATATCTAGACCTTTAAAAATTTGTAATTCTGAACAGTCCTGTTTACTGTGTTCCTTAGGGATTTTTTTTTTATTTTAACAGCATGCAGCTTGACAGAAATACACTACCTAAAAAGGGATTAAGGTATATACTTTTTTGAGCATGACTGCTGCTTCTCTGTTTTCTTGTAACCTTCTCTACACTCCTTCCTTTTCTTTCGCCTTTTGTTGATCCTTTTTACAAGAGTTCTTGATATTTAGATACAAAAAAACCCAAACATGCATAATTAATAAATTTCTTTTCAAGATATGCAATGGAAAGTAAATACTATTAAGTATAATTTCCTTATGCAATGAATTTTAGAGACATTGAATCCTGGTGAGCTATGAGACAAAATAAGATACTTTTGCAATTCAATGGGACTAACTGTTGGAAACATTCTTGAGAAAATCAAAGCTTTAGAGGTGGATTTCAACTTGAACTCTAAATGCAAACACTCGTGCAGTTTTAGTTGAAGATCTAGTAAATGATAAGGCTTAAAATTGCTTATTTTAATATCCAAAGCATGTAGGTATAAAATGAACCCTGCTCCCGCTAGTCTTATTGGTCCCTCTCCAGCAATACTAAAAGTACAGTTTTGCTACTAATTCCCCACTAATTAGAGCTACCTTCATTACAGGCAACAGAAGTAATTCACCCTCTTGTCTGCTCCAAAGAAGGGATCATTAGGTAACTTGTCTGGCCTCATCAGGCATGGCAGCCTCCTTAACCTCCCTAATCCAGGAAGGAGATTTGGCAAGCAAGGGTATATATGTGCCTGCACACAGACACTTTGCAATCTTCAGGTCACTGAAATTACACATTTAAATCTCTTGAGTTATTGATCAGTAATATTTTAAGAAATGTTAAGATAGTGCTAAAGTGTTGTCACTAGAAAGCACCTGCTGCTGTTCTGCACTATCCATTAATTTAAAATAATTTAATCAAATTTCCTGTTATTCTGAAACAATCATTTTGGATTGGGAGAGAATGGAAAAGGTGGAGGACATGAAAGAAGCATAAAGGGCACCCTGCAAGGCTACAGTGGCATGACTGAGGTTTGTGGCCATTCAATTGTAATGGTGGCTGAAATCTGAAAGTGAGATGGAATGGGAAAACAGCTAATAGGCGTATAAACCTCACCAGTTATCCCAGAAAAAGTGTCAGCTTGATTTAATGTACAGAGATCCGAGTCCAAGGCCCAGATCTTGAATTCTCATTTTGCCATCTTTCTGATCTGATAACCACTGAGTAATTCTGCTCTACCACATTTATAGGCAAAGATCATAACTGTCTTTTTGAAGGGAGATAGCGAATATTTAATCAGGACAAGATGTTTTAATGCTGTATATTATTATACAAAATCCCAAGCACAGCATGAGAACTTACACATTTATTAATCTGCCATCGAAGCAGAAATACTTGTGCCTTGCAAGCCTGAAGGCAGGGAACCAGAAGCCCTGTCTTCTCTGCTGTTTGGGGAACACTCATGGCTCCTGACAGTGGTGAAGAAGGTGCTAGTTTCTCAGCAGGAGATTGTGCTGAATGAAGCAGGGGATTGCAGAAAAGGCTGAAAACAATTTATTGTTGAAGACCCACACTGCCTGCACATTTTAATGCTTAACTGCTGCTAGCATTGCTCTTCCTCCAGCCCAGCCAAAAGAGGCTGTGCCAGTGAGTTGTCAGTTCTCCATGTTAGACTATGTGTCAAGCTGCACTCGTTTTATTGGTTTGACATAGGAAGCAGTTGATTAGTTATTTGATTGCCAGACTTCTCCACTCCAGAGAACTTGTTACCACTAATTGTGGATTTTTCCTGTTCCTTTTCCTCCTACCAGTTTGGGGCAGGACACACTTCCAAGTGGCATTCAGAGTGACAGCCTGTCCATGCAAACTCCTTTTTCAGAGTTGTTCTGTTTTTCTCCTTTCGTCTAACCAGTTGTCCACACGATCTGTGGCAGAGATCATTTTGCAAGCTGCTACTCACATTTCTTGGCTTCTAATCTCTCCATTCCCCACCCCAGTCATACAGCTGCCGAGCTTTTGCATCAACCTGCGCACTTCCCTGTAGCTTTGAAGTCCTTCCCTCTCAGCTCAGTTGTCTGTCTTCTACAGTTTATCATCATATCTCTTCAAAGGAAGGGAATGCTGTTTTGGGGAGGGGGATGAAATGGGAACGGGTCTCAAGTCCTGTACTTTTTTCTGTTGTGATAAGATGGTAAATTTTACCTTGTTAAAATCCTTGGTGTTAATCATTTTACTGGACTTGATGTTTTCCAAGGGTTTTGTTCTATCTAATTGGTGAAGGGTCCTTATGTGACACCTGTTTCTTTCCAAACCACCAACTTGTCATTGTTTTGAGAATGTCAGCTGTGATTTTTCAGATATACTCCATCATCCCGGCAGACAAGTCAGGAGGAAGGCAAGGAATGGCTACGGTCCCATTCAACTGGAGGCCTGCAAGACACTGGCAGTCAGTCCCCGCTTGTTTCTCCTTCAGCTATGTCTTCATCTGCAACTGGAAAATATCACTTTTCCAACCTGGGTAAATACCGATTCCCTTCATTGTTTCTGCCACTCTAGAAGAGAATCATAAAATTCAACAGTTCATATTTATTAGTTTGCCAAACTAGGTAATTTCTTTTAACATCTCCATCACCATATTGTGGTACATCACTAATGAAAGGAAGATAATGTGTTGGGTTTTTTTTATGAAGTAGGCCAGGGTACCTCCAATTTTGCATGCAGAAAAAAAAGCACAGATTCCCTATGATTTGCCCAAGGAGAAGAAAGTCTGAGGCAGAGCGGGAAATTAGGCTCTAGTTCGGATTCACAGCCAGTAGGATGATTTCCACTGAATTTAGGGAATGTCAACCCAGGCATTAAACATTGCTTTTTTCCTATATACAAGTTTGCTTCGAGATAGGCCTTTCCAAGGCACTTTGGGGGCTGGACCTGGCTATAACTGAACTGGGCCAAATCCAAATCCTATGCTTGAATGCAATATAAACTCATAGGATGTGAATCACCTTTCAGATTTATTTGATTACAGGTCAAGACTTAGACTTGTTTCTTCTGGATCTTGTTTCAGATTAATCCAACACAAATTAAGTTTTGTTAATTTTTTTTTTTCCTTTAATGATTAATAGAAAACCATTTATTTGCACTGCTCTAGACGTACACAATGAGCTTTTTAGTTTCTTACTGTGGAATTAGCAGCAACCTTTGAAGCATTCACACTTCAGTCACTCTATCACAGATTATGGCATCTGTAGGTTACAATCACTAAAAGAAACTTGATCAGACATACAAATGTTGGTCTTTATTACATACGGGAAAAGAAGTTGAACAAAGCAACTTCTAAAACTGAAATTGGATCCTGCCTAAGCAAGCCACTGCTTTGGATTTCTTCCATGTACTTGCAGTAGTTTTAGACACAGCTCTTTGTAGGCAGTGTTCCTCTTAGTCTATAATTTTCTGCTTATAATTATCTTCTCTTTTTGTTCATAGTTCTTGTACTCACAACAGAGAGCAATAAGATCATGGGGTTTTAAATTTTATTTTATCATTGTATTTTGTTTTTTTTCATTATCATAGCCCTACAGAATAATTTGGTCTCACAACACAGCTGCTCTGGTAGTTTATGACTTAGGGCACTTCTTGAATGATCTGAAATAAAAGTCCTAACACCAAGGCTGAATATGGATAGACAGTTAGCTCTTTCTTCTAGGCATGGAGTTAGTGTAGTCCAGGTGAACGATAAGCAGGCTTTCCTTCCTACTGGCAAACAAACTTTGCAAAAGTTTAAAGTAGGTTCATAAACGCTGTTCTGGATTTCAACCATGAGTGACTGGAATACTCCTATTTATTATCATAAGATTCAATTGGCCTGTGCAGGAGTTATAACCAAATCTAGTGGGAGGGGCTGTAGAAAATCTAAGGATAAATATGTCTTATGTATGCCAATAAACTTTTTTCTTTACAGCAGTTTGTAAGATAAGTATATAGCAAAAAAAAAAAAAATACAGATACTGAATTATTAAAAGAGCTACTTAAAAAAAAATACTTACAACTTCTTAGTCCTTTTTAACTTTTTAATCTCTCCTGTCGATTTTCTGTCTTGGGCTGTCAAAGTGAACAACTATGTACTCAGACACCAGTGTTAGCGTTACCATGTGTTTTACAGGACTAGCTTAATCCAGCTCTGGGTCCTCAGAGATCATCTGCTTCACCTTTTTGTGGTGGTTTTGCATGTAGGAATAAAAGCCTTTCAAGCATGAAGTCCATCTAACTAACCATGTTAGCCATACATTACAAATCTGTGCAAAACCAAAATCTGTTTAGTGGAAACGTGCTTCATTAATCAAGTTTTGTATTCCAGTGAGTCCAACCAACCTCTCTCAGTTTAACCTTCCTGGACCCAGTATGATGCGTTCAAACAGCATCCCAGCACAAGACACTTCTTTTGATCTGTATGATGACTCCCAACTGTGTGGCAGTGCTACATCCTTAGAAGAGAGACCACGAGCAATTAGTCATTCAGGTTCATTCAGGGACAGCATGGAAGAAGGTAAGACTGAGTTACTATTTGGATCAGCCAAAAGACTCCAGTACAGGCCTGAAAATAGGCCTCCAAAGTGTAGTAAAATGTTAAAATATTTCATCTGCAACTTAAAAACTTATATAATTTTGTGAAGCATTTTAAATTTTGTTATGCTGGACTCACAAGACTTTCTTACCATAAAGCATGGATGTTATTTCTTACGCACAGTAATATGCAATGCTGTGAATGTCATAGACATACAAGTCCTTTATCAGAAATTTTGGAGAAAGGGAAATCATTATTCGAAAATTATTTTATTCTCTTTGCCTCTAAATCTGAAGTGTTTGAGCATACCTTGACTACTCTTATTCCATGCTTTCTTAGTCCTACTTTCTTAGTTGTCATGAACCAACTAGTTTTATGTGGAACCATTTCCCAAATCAGTACTTTCTTTCTTAATCCTGTATTCCTACTTTCTTTCATACTCCTGTATTTCCTTTTTTTTTTTTTCCAAATGTCAGTGCTACTTAGCATCCCCTTTCTTTTGTAGTCATTTCATTTCCCCACTTTCCTGCAGACTCCTACAGCAAATACTGTGTGAATTTCTGTATTTAGATTGTCATTTAATATGATCTTACTCCTTTCTTTATTCAAAATATTGCTGCTGGTCTGGTTTCTTTAATGCCAAGTACAACGCCTGGAATTTGGGATTATTTTTTGCCTTGGTTTTGGATTTTGTTCTTTTTTAACCACAGAGCATAATTAAATGCACTGTAACATTTTCTTCTGCCTAACGTTTCTGGTAAATCTGATTATTTGCAGAAATCTTACAAGCACAAAGGTCTCACACCATATAAATTAAAAACAAAAAAACAACAAAAAGCAAAGCAGAACCAAAACCAAAGAAAAAAAAACAAAACCCTAACAAAACACAAAAAAAACCCTCACAAAAGCCCCCCAGTCCCACTCAAATTTAATGGAAATTCATTCCATAATATCATCTCATTACTCTTGCTCACTGCTCAGCAATGACAGTGTAAGTGGTCTTTATAAGCAAATAAAAATGTCTTCCTCTACTCCCAAAGCTCACACTTATAATATAAAAGCCAGAGGGGAAAGTCCTACATTAAATAATGGACAACTAATACTTTTTAATTTTTAATTCTTCTGTAGTTTAGATGATATGTCAGGCAGACATCTGCATATGTAATGCTAGCAGTAGGGTGCAGGACAGATCAAGCTGTGAGTTGTCAGCACAGAGAAGATGGTTGAATGCACAGAAGCATATCATGTAATTCAAGGACATACATGACTACAGACCCTTTGCTGAGAAACAGGAGAATTATCAAAGGAAACACTGGAAGAATAATAGAGAAAACAAGGCAAATTATTTATGCATAGAAAATAGGTGTTAAATCTAGAATTTCAGTAATGGGTCACCAGTGGCTTTGATGAAAGCTTTTTCATTTATCATGTTTCATATCCAGCTGCACTGGACAACCATGATCAACCTGAGTAAATGAAAGTCAGTGCAGCAATAATAAAGTTTTGTGCAGTTCATGGTGTCACAGTTTGACTCAGGTTTGACAACGCTCTCGATCCCCTCCCCCTCCTACCCAGGTAGGGAAGAAGAGAGAGAAAAAGAGAGAGACTTGGCTAGATTGAAAACTAAACTACACAGTGTGACTAGTTAAAAGAAAGCTTGCTGAAGAGAAAAAAAAATCAACAAAAAGGAAAATTGGCTTCATCCTGGTTCAAACCAAGACACATGGTCATTATAGATTAACATGAAATGATGCTGTTGGAAGGCTAAATGTATTTTACTTAACACAGGAACTCTGAGGAAGGTTATAGTGAAATAAGTTAGGTAAAGAGTAGAGTCACAGTGTGTGAGAGTAGAATGGGAGTTTAGCTGAGGGATTTAAAGCAGAAACTGAAAACCAATGATAGATTGAAAGCAACAGGATTTCACTGGCCAGTGTACCATGTTTATAAATATTTCCTCACTTAAAAAATTACATTTAAAGTCTATTTGGCTAATTCAAGTGTTCTTGTATTGTCAGTTTGGCATAGAGATGCCAGTATTAACAAAAATAAATTTATTTCCCAGACCCCAGCAGATTATGAATATTAAACAAATTTCTTCTGAACCAAAAATGAATATAAATGAAATAAATTATCTTCTTTCAAATTCCGTGGTGGTGTATCTCTTCTCAGTAGAGTCATTGGAAGCAGAAGGGCAATTTTGTCTCAGTTTATTCTTTGGTTGCCAATTTCAGAGAGGCCAGGAACCCAATTATTTATTTATTTATTTTTAATTTTTTTTTTTATTTGAAGTCCTACAATATTTACTTGGTGCTCTTGAGGCTGACTCCACTGATGATTAGTGTAAATATGGGACTCAATCTTGCACGAGCCCCTTCACACAGACTACAAATGCCAACATGCTCAGGTCTGCCTTGTGCTTAGGGGAGAAACAAGCTGACCAGACTCCAGGAGCTCAGTCCAGGGAATGTGAGCTGTTTTGCAAAGCATAGTCTCTTATTCAGCTGTGGATTGGTCTATAAATAGCTCAATTCCTGGTTTCTCTCAAGAGTGTGTTTATCAAGTGATTTGTTGACAAAACAATAAAAGTGATGCTTGGTTTGCTGGTGATGATACTGAATCTCTCTGGCTTGCTCTCACAGCAAAGTGCTTTTTCTGTATAGAACAATCTTTTTAAGTGCAGGGAAAATATCAATAGCTCTTCTATACTAAATAATTGCTCATAATTACTCTTTGTGGAAGATTGGTTCTCATTTAAAAAATATGTTTACTTATTGAGCTTCATGGGGAAAATTTTATGCTTTCATCAATATTTCATGTTATTTTCCTTTTTTTTAAAGTACATGGGTCCTCATTATCACTTGTCTCCAGCACATCCTCTCTCTACTCTACGGTAAGTATTGACATTTTAGAAAAACATTCTGCCTGCCTCTGTTCTTGTTCATTGTTCGTGAAACTTTCAATGCTTTGAGGTTTAGAAGGATTAAAATTGTACTGCAATAAATCAGGAACATTTATTTTCAACTATAATAATGAAATAGTCTATAGAGGAACATGTCTAAAAACATCAGGTACACACAGATTAGGTTTTCCAGGCTTTAGCAGCAAATTGCAAGCAATTCCAGATTATTTTGGGGAGGTAGAATATACATACAGACTAGCTGCACATTCAAAGTAAACCTCCATTTTGTTAGTGGAAAAATCTTTACTACTATTTCCCTTTCTGTGAGACACTATGACCAGTTTGCATGGAAGGGATGACCAAAATGGTAATTCAAGCTTTGATATAAAATTTTAGAAGAATGTTATAAAACTGATAGATGGTAAAAATCAAATTGCAAAGTGACACAGTCATCAGTATCTGATCAGTCAGTAATTCTGAAATATCTCTGCTGTGGTGTGATGTATTGCAGCAAGGATTTACTAATATTTTTTATTTATATAACCTTCTATCATTCGAGATTACTGAATATCTTGAAAATATTACCTAAGTCCCATGATATTAGAGAATGTTATTTTTCCTGCAAAGCAAACTTTAAACTGTTCATCAAAGTCCATAGTGTAAGCCAGTGGAACGTCTTCTGAAATGTCTGACTGTGAACTCACATTGCAGTTAAGCCTGACTCCTTAAACTATGGATTATGTAGACAGGATAATAGAAGTTATAGAAAAATCTACCAAGGCCAAGAAAGGAATTAGTGTGACAAAATTACTAGAGTTGACCTTTACGGATGATTTTTTATCAGAAATTCTCCTGCTTGATCCCCTTCTTCCTCTGAAAAAAAAAAAAGTTTAAACTTTTCAGCAGTTAATCAGAAGGTGATGCACAAGGGGAGTGTAGAAAAAGGAAAGGCTGGCAATCAGTATCACATCAGCTGAAAGAAAACACAACTTTTCATTACTCAACATCATGGTTCAGTGCTCTGTTTTCTCCAGAAAGGGACTGCTTCACAGGGTTATGACACATGTAACATTACTAGATTCAAGTTTTTATACAGAGCCTATCATCGCTATGCAGGAGTGACAAAGCAGCTGCCTTTCCATAAGTGTCTTTATCAAATTTGTCAAACATTGCCTTGAATCTTGGTGCTGGTGTTTTTCTGCAGCCTTATCACTGGAGATATTCAAAGTACTAAATGAAGATCAGAATCTTTATATATTATCATTAAAGGACAGCTGAAAAGCTGAAGATTGTAAGAGACATTTTATTATTTGCTGCCATTGCAGTACGTCCAAAGAGATAAGTTCTGCATTGCCTTTCTTGTTGATTTACCTTTAGGTTTTCAGGACTTACTTGAAGAGACTGGAAATCTAGGTTGTAGAGTTATGCACGTAGAGAGACTGTCACAGTTTGACTCAGGTCCGACAACAATGCTCTCGATCCCCCCTCCCCCCAACCCAGACTTACTTGAAGAGACTGGAAATCTAGGTTGTAGAGTTATGCACGTAGAGAGACAAACATTTTATTTCACAGAAATGTATGCCATGTGAGTGTACTGGAAGGATTGAAATACTGATTCTGTTTTGACTGTGAATATACCTAGCTCTTCCAGAAGTTGAAAAAGATGTGTGATAGTGTAAATTATGATAGGCTGTCTCCAATTTTAATATCCTCCTGCTCAGTAGGTGAGACACTGCAATTTAGTTAATAACTATACTTCTCACACTGCCTCTCAGCATTGGCTACACTTAGAATCCCTAGACTTCATTAACTGTGCTAATCCAAGCTCAAAGGAGATGTGTAAGGACATTTCATTTGTATGTTAATATTTTAAGTCTTAGGAAAAAAAAGAAAAAATATCTTTACAAGGATGGGATGCATGCATATGATGGAGAATTACAGGGATAAAGAAATATATTTCCTTTCAGATCCTCTTGAACCAATGACAGAGTGCTGGCTACAATGATGACAGCATGAAGTCTTAAAGAAAAATTGCTCAGGTGTATTTGGTTGCCCAGTTCTAAGTTTTAAGTTGATAATATGCCTCAAATCCAGTTCTTTCTCTTTGGTTTACTTCTTATACTGCCCAGAACATTTACTTTATGGGAGCCACCCCTCTGAACTCTGGGAGAGAGGCAGCGCTTCCTTGTACAGCAAAGGAGTCATCTGGTAACAACATGTAGCGCTTCCTTCAACAGCCAGGGCCAGTGGTCTAAGGACAAGGGACCACAATCCCAACATGACAGTTTCAGTAAAAGACCACCAACCCAAATATATTAAATTTTTTTGCTTTTATTGGCATAGTAGAATTCATAAGGGGATACAGTCTCTTTTGATCTTTGAGGACTTCTCATTCACTACATTTGAAGTGACAATAAAGAGAATAAACTTGCAATTTTTTCTGTAGGCAGATCTCCTTTTTGTGAGCCCAGATCGGAATGTTAGTATCAGCTGGTAAATAGAACAATGATTATTCTGATGTACCACATATTACAGTAGTTTATGTCAAGTGTTATACATGAAAACAGCATAGCATTTCAGTCTTTATACTGACTGTTAGTAGATAAATGGAAAGCGACATTTCAAAAAGTCTTCTTCGCTTGCAGCAGGCAAAATAAGAAAACATTTCTATAATCTGTTATTAAAATTCTAACAGCACAAAAGTTTTACTTAATGCAGACTTTTATTTGAAATAGCATAGATACTGCCAGATGCCTGGAAATTTTTTGAGGAACCCTTACATTGTGTTTTCTTAGTCTTTCTAGTTTTATTTACAGCTAATTCTTCTATCTATATTTTCCTTTTACTGCTTACTTCTCTTCCTGACAGTATTAGACTGCTTCTCTGAAGTTGGGCAACTTCAGACCATGGGGTGCATTGATTTCCAGTACATTAACTGATCCTTATTTTCTGTTACAAAAGGGTTCCTTTCTCAGATCACATCATTCCTTTCCATTAGAATCCCACTGAAGCCAGGTTTTTCCATCTACCTAATGCCTCCTAAATTAGAATACTCCCATGCTTACAAATATGATGACTTTCAAAGGTTTTCTTTGCAATGATTTAGTTTATTATCTCGGTGAAAAATACTATTGAGTAAACAGCATTATTATATGGCACAACTCATAACAATGTGGAAAACACCTAAAATTATTAAATCTTATTAGCAAGTTTAAGTTGAAACTTTAGCATGCCTTGGTATTCCTCAATATTTTGGTCATTACTGTGGATGGAAGATGTTGCTTTAAAGTGCAAGTACCACTCATCCCTCACCTTCCCCCATATAGGTTTTACTGGTATGCTGCCAACTTTTGTTAGCAAGGATTAGTCTGTTAGGAATATTGCTTGGTATACAGTAAAGCAAATATGATTCCAGGAGCCAGAACAATCATTATGGTGTAAAAGTTTGCAGGGAACAGACTAAGATCCATGAAGTGACAGCAATGTAAATTTTGTTTTGTATCTTAGAAATGTAGCTGCAGTTCTGCTTCTATTCTCCCTTTATTCCCTGTTTCATGTGGTCAGTATGCTGGCAAATTCTTTGGAGTTTCAGCTGGAGCCTAGCCAAGCAATTTGAAAAGAATCCCATTTATTGTTTTTACTGCATACCTTCCTTAAATGTAATGGATCCGTGAAAATACTCATTTCACTTCAGCATAGCTGGCTTTTGTTTTCTATTACCACGGTTATGTTTTATATTGTTTCTAAGCCATTTCTTCTTTGTTTTCTTCCAGGCAGAAGAAAAGGCACATTCAGAGGTAAATTTTTTTCTTCATTTCTGTAGCTGTGTATGGTTTTATGTTATTTTAAAATGTAATTGTTTGTCTGCTATGGCTAAACGGTTGAGATGCTGGGGAAATGACACTGATTATTTGAACCACTCTTTGGGAAGTTTTGGTAAAGAGCTGATGCAGCTTCTAGTGCACTACAAGGTGTTTTCTTATCATCACGCTGAAGAATGTCTCCTGGCTGAGATTCTGAAAAGGTGGCAAGAGTCAAAAAGGATTGGGCTTCTGAGTGAAGGAGTTGTGATACGTCTGATTTCAGACTTAATACCACTCTGCACTGGATCTAAGGGACTGTGCAAATCTAGGTAATGTGCTGCCTTTCAGGAGAAATACACTTCAGTTGTTCACTTTGAACTCCTGTTCCTTACTTTTTGCATTATATTACATTTCTGAAACTGACCACTTTGATGGATTTTGGAGCAACGCAGATTGATTTCAGATATAAATCAAATCTGAGCTGCAAAACAGCTTCTTTCTCCTTGCAGGGTATAAGAATGGGTGACAAGGCCATGTCAGCAGCTAGATAAAATTGCAGCCTTCCTCAAAATGAGAGAGAGTTATATTAAAAGAGCACCAAGGACTAACAGCAATAAAGTGCAGCACCAAGGGGTACACTTCCACTTCACAGAGCCTCATACCTTCCAACTCTTGCATTTATGCTGCTCCTATTTTTACTACTCTAATCAGAGAAAAAGTCAACTAGAAGATATTGAGGAAGCTGAACAAATAAACATATTCTTCCTTACTTGCCACAGTATATTTAAATAGAATTTTGACATGAATTTTTAAAGCTCCTTTCTCTGAAAGATAATACAAAGGAGCTAAAGCAGCATGCCATAGCTTAGTAGTGTAAATGACAATTCCTCATTTAATTGCCTTTTATATAGGGTGAAGAAACATTTATTTCCTGTGTATTTCTACATGATGTTTTTTTAGTATCTAGGTCTTGCAGCAGAGGTCAAACAGCACTTCAGAACTACCTTTGTATAGTTGCAGGAATATGGTGAAAGTGTAGCTTAAGCAGAAATGTCAAATAATTGCTACTGAAAACCAAAGAGAAAACTTGAAAAAAGAAAAGGGGCAATCCAGGATACAGAACAGCTCAATGATCTGTCTCCTTTGCTCTGAGCTAGTGTAAATGACCTAGCTATTTTTGTATCATAGATGTACAGGAGCTTGTTCATTCTTAGAGCTTCTGCGATATTCCCTGTTGGTTTTCATAGGAGACACGAAAGTAAAGTACTGCAATAGTCTTTACTAGTGAATAATATGTGCTCCCTTTCCTAGGGTTGTTCTATACATTTTGCTTCGTTGGTCTGGAAAAATTTCTTCTATGTCTGAATATGAAAGAGATTTCAAGGTGAAACTCTATGCTATGCTTAAGTTCAGTGTAGTGCCTGGAGTCCTTGTGTGATCTCAAATAGGGTAAAATGTGCTTTAAATAAGTCACAAGCTTCATGCTAGATATCTATCCTGGTCAAAATGTAAACAGATATTTTTCTTAAGGATTCTCTTTTCACAAAAGGATACAAGAGCCTAAAATTAAGTTTATTTTCATGCCAACAGGCACATTTAAAGTTCCATTTTTTTAAAGTTGGCAAGGAAATTTTTGAAAGACATATAAGGTTTAAAGAGGCTGCATGTTTGAATCACAGGGACTGAAGGAAGTACTGTGTTAGAGGAAAAAAATATTACTGTACATCATCTAACTTTAGACTTCCATGAAGCAAAAATCTGTGTCTGAAGTAGTGGGTGATTTACTTTTTTGGCACTTCCTCTGCATCTAATGTAGACATTTAACATATGTCAGTTGCATCATGCCTACAGTCAAACAAAGTGAACCTCACCCAATTTTTTTAATGTTCTATAATCTCAGGCATCATCCAGATCTGCTAACATTGATTGCACTAAGGATGGGTTTAGAACTTACAGGATTTGGTAAAAGCAAAACAAAACAAAACACTTACGTGTGCAAACAGAGGATTGTAAGTATGAAGTAACTAAGCATTAGCCCATATGTGCTCCTTCAACAGGGATGAAGGAGACAGTTGGAGAAGCACTAGGTGCCAACTTTTAATAATTTGTATTTCTGAATAGTTCTGAGTTTAAAACGTGAAACTTGTAAATTCTAGAGGGATTAGGGATCCCTCTAGAGAACAGAACAAAACAAAACCCAGAACAAAAAGAAATTGCTGAAATATTGACAGCAGTCTTTTTTCTCCTAGCAAATTCAGAAACTTCGGAGAGAGCTGGTTGCATCACAAGAGAAAGTTGCTACCCTTACATCTCAGCTTTCAGCGAATGTAAGTATTTTTGCTTCTGATCATAAACAGTACCAGAGAATAAGTTATAACTCTGGCTAGTAGCTTTTACTTAATTCAAGTACCAACACGTGGTCTTGGAGACTGCTGCGGTTTATTTATTTTGGTGTTTTTCAAATTAATTATCTCATTAAGTGTCTGTATTGCCTCAGCTTCAAGCAGAAGGCTTATAAATCAAACACAGAGGAAACAGAAATGAGTTTCCACATTTTGAGTGTGACAACAGTCCTATTGAGTTCAGTTTCACTCTTTC